CTTCCCGCCCTCTCCCTCCCTCCCGCCGCCTACGTAACGTGGTTGAGATCTATATTTGTGCCGTCGTGTATTTACTCCGCGATGCATTCACAGTATTTTGCTCGCAAACGTGTCGCCGTCACTTGTACTTCCGCGCGCGATCGCGGCTCGAATAAATCCTTTGTCGCGAGGACACGGGTGTAATTAGCGGATACCCTGTAATACATACATAATACGTACTCTGCGTTTTCCAGCTTTTTCCACTGAAGAGAGAGAGAGAGAGAGAGAGAGAGAGAGAGAGAGAATCGGTAACGCACCGTAAATGAGACACGTAATGCGGAAAAAGATTGGGGGGATAACCAACGTTAACCAACAGTGATCACGTTTTTCATGCGTTACTCTCTTTTCCGCTAATTAGATGAATAATCGTGAAGCGCACGACGTCACAGTGTTTTTGATTGTAGACTCGACGTGTCACTGCGTCCCCGTTGTCCACTGGCGTTAATCACTTTCTTTTTCCGCATAATTCGCAGCACTGTCGAATTAATTAAAAGCGCAGCTTGTCTCGCGAGGTTAATTTATAGAGACCGCGCAGATAGCGCGTAAAGAGCAATTTTTCGCGGTCGGGTAGAAAGTGATTTATAAAACGATCTCGTCGCGCAGCCTGTGAAAATTCTATCCTACCGTGCAAGCAGGGAAAAACATTGGGAAACGTATCCACTCTGCGCAGATTCAGCGTAAACGACCGTTGAACGCGAGTGAACGGGTCTCTCTCTCTCTCTCTCTCTCTCTCTCTCTCTCTCTCTCTCTCTCTTTCTCTCTCTTGCGACGCGCTTCTCGCGAAGCGCCATTCGCGATAAATCACGACGATCGGCAAAAACTTGACGATATATCAATTAGGCGCGGGCTGCGCGCGTGCACACGCGTCGATTCTCAATTATTATATTCTCGTCGCCGCTGATTTACCGCGAGCGCATCGGCAGCGGGCTGCTGCGGCGCGCACTGTTAATTAATCGCACGTTTATTTAGCACGTCGCGCGCCACCGCCCTTATCTGCATTCTCCTCCTCTTATCGCGTCCCGATACGGCACGGTGTAATGATTTTGCGCGATCGACGAGTGGTTGATCAGAACTCGTGGCGTTCGCGATTTCAAGGATGCATTATTTATATCGCAAAAATAATGCAACATTTTTTTTAAATTATAGAGATTAATCTATATTGCATCTAAGAGTTGCACAAGCAATTTGATTCTTAGGATTTGGATAAAAAATTATTCTACTTTTAAGTGTAGGGTCAGCAAGCATGATAATGTTAAATAATATAAGGAAAAATAAAGGGTACTGACCAAAAACGCGTTTCGGCTCTTGAATAAATTAATTGAATTCAGTTGTTCTATTATAGGACTGAAATGTGATACCTTAATTTTTATGAAATAAATACTTCTATACATCCAGAGAACATACGCTAACTTTAATAGTTTTCAGTTTGTTTACATTATTACATCTCTGTATTAATTCTTATAAACTTTTTTCCCTTTCTTTAATTTTTTAGTAAGATTTATAAATCTACACGCCTACACGCAAAAAAGTGATTTAGTAATATCAGCTAAACCGCGATAGCTGATTCAAACTTAGTCAAAAGGCTAATCGTCTAACTGTCACTGTTAAGAATTGGCTATGACAGCTAAGATGCATTCGCTATGAAATACAAATATATTAGGTGACATTAAAAATTCACATTATTTCAAATAGCTAAGAAAATGGCAGTTATTCCTAAATTTCTTTTCGTATGCATATATTAAAGAAGTTTGCCGTACAGCTATAATCATTTGTTACAGTCATTTATTTCTAGCAGCTAATATTTCTCGCTGTAGCGCCTGAGTTTAACAGCGAATGAATTTAGCTTCGGTAGTATCGACATTAGCTGTCCCTATTTCAGTGACATATCTTATCTGCCACAGCTATTTTTTAGCTCTGGAAGCTAAAAATAGCTTCTTTTTTTGCGTGTAAGCGCTAAGAACATTATATTTCTATGCAAAGTCTAAGTGGACCTGTCATTATAGAGACCTGTGATAGAAGTAGAGAGAAATCGACCCCTTTATGATCCCTGTTTTAAATTTCTACTCTAGTTTCCAGCGACTTTTGGCGGGGACTATACAGACAATACATCCTTGATTCAGTCGCGTCGCCTTAAATCATTTTGTTCTCCCTTTTGCGCGTCTCTTTTCATAAATCCGGATTATTCCAATGCGCGGCGAAATGCCGCGCGATATTAAGAAGCATTTCCGTTCGGCTTAATTAGAAAACTGTAAGGAGGCTTTTCCCGCTCTGCGGTAATTGGGAAGTATTGGGAAAATAAATTGGCGGAATTCTAAATCGTTGCTGGCGTTCGATTCGATATCGAGGCCATGCGATACGCTTCTCCAGCCCCTCCCTTGCCTGATCACGCGAATTGATGGAGCCCGGGCGCGCGGATACTCGAGTTACACGAGGTTAAGAAGGAAAGCTGGCGGGTGAAACACGGTAAGACAATGCCGGTGTATCCGTAGCGAGGAAATGAGATTTATATTAATTTCTACAGCCACGACGGCGCATCCGCAGCCGTCGACGTCGTCGACACCGTTGGGGAAACCGCCCTTCCTGCCATCCTTGATAACCGATTTGTCTACCTCCGTCGTTTGCTTAGGATCTCCGTCGAGGCGAAATTTCACCGCGACGTGTACTTCTGCCTTTCGGCGGAGATATTAAATAGTCAGTGCATAATTCTGAGGTTGCGCGCGTTGACGAATGTGTAGAATTTTTTTCGTACTTAAGCCTTTTTTTGGCAGACCCAAAAAGATTTAAGGGAAAGGATTTTTGAGTGTTCAAGGGCGGTATTAATAGTTGTTACTTGAAATTCGTCTCACATGTGAGATACTCAAATTTTTATTCAGAGTTAGATCCGAGTTCTTTCAGTTGGATTATGTGATACGTGTGACATTTATACCTCGCAATTCAATTGAAAAGCTCTCATCAAATCTAATTTCAAATCCGAATATCTCACTTGAGACAAATTTGAAGTAATGACTGTTGATGCGGGCCTAAGCGAAGTAAATGATATTATATTATAGCTAATGAGAAATCGATGTTGTTTGAGAGCAACATTGCCAAGTAAAGGATTAATTAAAGAGATTTTTCCCCGCCATTATTTTTTTAGCGTCATATCCTTTATACGCACGGAAGATCAAGAGAGGCGAACGCGGAAATTAAAGCGAGGAGAAGCGATGCGAGTATTTATAACGAGATCGAGCTTCGAAATTATAATTTCCATCGTCTTGGCGAACGGCGGCTTTTATAACCGAGATAGTTTTGCCAAACGTCCTTTGAACTGAATTCCGTAATATTCGACGGTCTTAGCTCGCGGTTTATAGAGTTAATTATTTTCTTCGATGGAACGTGGAAAGTATTGGTAATCGATGACGCGCCGGGGAATCGTCCGCCAAATGCGATTATCTTTCGTGTTGATAGAACGACGCCTGCATTCGCGCTAGGTAGAGCTCCACTCACAGCCTGGATACCGATCGTTAACTGTTTGACCTAATTCCGAAGGATATAACGCCGCGCAATATGTACAATAACGCGGCAACAATTCAATTTCCGTTCGCGCAAGAGACTAAGAAATCCGCCGGCACGCGGAACGAAGGCTGACACGAACGAAGCAAATCGTTCTAATCGATGCAAATCGATCGCAACGCTCGATTCGTTGCGGCACTCTTATCGTTTAAACGCGCGCGCAATTTGAAGGAACGTAACGTCTATAATCCCCAGTATCCATCTTACGTCGCTTTTATACGCAATTCTCTCGACGACGAGGACAAAATTAATTGGGAAACAGAATGAGAAGTTGCTTGAAAATTTGTTTGCGGGATTATAAAGTTCATTCGCAGAAACAAACTTTATTTCTCGAGGAGATCAACTTTATTTCGCAGAATTTTATATGTCCCACAAATAAATTTTCAAGTATTTCTAACCGATGCACAGAGACCCAACATCGTACGCGGAGAGTTAAGGCTTGTTCGGTTAAGCGGCAGAAATCAAGGAAATTTTCGACAAAGATACGTCAGTTCTAAATTCGCCGGCAGTTACTCTTGTCGATTGTCGCGTTAAAATTTCACCCCGAGGAGAGGCGAATTCGATAACGCCGCGTGATCTGTTATCGTGTAAATGTCAAGAAAGCGGGGATTTTCGTCCTTCTGTGTTTTATTCGCTGCAACATGACAGTTATCTCGCGCGATATTTTCGAATAACCGGGCTACCGACAAATATCGCGCGAATAACACAGTGTACGAAATATATTTCTCTCATCGGCCGCGCGCACACGCGTGCATTGTCAATACCATAAAACTCTACGGGCGACGATATCGTCGTTATGATAATGCGTATGGCGGCAGATCTCACAACGACCAGGTGGATGATACGTTTCGATGCCGAACCGCCGCGGGATCATTTTCGATATTGTCGACCAACATTTTACCCCGGGAGTTCCTCGTTGCGAAACGAGCTTTTTGACCGTGTGCATCGGCCGCATTCTTGGGGTTTATCGCTAACCGTAGTACTGCCGAAGGAGAATACCGTTTGTTCCTGGTCAGTGGCTCGCGAACCGTTCGTTCGTTCGTTCGTTCGTTCGTTCGTTCGTTGCTTCATGAAAACTAGTTTGTGAAGCGCGACGGTTCGCAGATAGAGAAAGCTCGTAAAGCGACGCTTCCACCTCCGCGCCGGCTCTTTATGGACCAGTTAAGTTTTCATGCCTCATTGTCGTTCTGCCCTGCGAGAATAATAACCCCGCATTACGTACGTGTAACACGATATTACCGGCGGAAGTGCGATAAGCGCGGACGGCAAATTAAAAATAATTACGCTATCGGCACGCTTGTTTGCGCCCGCGCGATTCACTCGCGACATCAGGCGCGCGAGAGTGAAATATCGACCAAGATAGTCCTGCCGAAAAGTGGAGAGAGAGAGGAAAGTTCATTTTAGGTTACCTGATTCCAGACACATCCTCCTCGGTCGCGTTCTCTTCCGCCATCCGAATAGCGCATTCTCCATCTGCAACGGTATTTTAATACGTGAAATTACTTGCTAACTCGTGTTGTATCTTCCCGAGTCGAAATTTTGGCCCTATATTAAACCTTGAATTCTGCACTTAGAAGCTAAGTTAGCAAAGTAAACTTAATTTTAATGATACAATTTACTTCTACTTTGACTCTGATGATGTTCGAAATTTCGCTTTTTTAGCGTCAAAATAGATCGTATTATAAGCTTCAGAATATCAAAAAAGATGATGAGTAGAATAGTGAGACTGTGAAAGTAGGATCAAAATTTCGACTCACAAGTAAACCTACCTACTCAAAAGTTACACTCTAATTTCATTTTAATTTGGCACAAATATAGAAGTACAAAAACTATTTAGGTCATATTTTTTCATTTTGGCCCAGTCTGAGTTTCACGGGCAGTTTATAGCTTTTTAATGTTCTCACTCCTATCATCAACAAGTGCAACAAAAATGCATAAGAAATAAAATTGAATACAAGATACAGGCGTTTTTGGTTTCCTGATTATAAATACAAAGTCAAATGTGAAAAATTATTTGTAAAAATAATAAAATGCTTAAACAAAACATGTAAAAAGTTGAAAAAAATTGTTTATACAAATAATTTCTCGGTTTGGTCAAGGTTCAAACCATTTTTGATTATTTTAACACAGATTTAAAATATTTTGGTTGGAAGTCTCGGCTAAAGAAATTTAGAATGGTTCGCGTCTTAGCCGATTGTGTTAAAATTATTTAACTATATCTTGTATTCAATTTTATTTCTTATGTATTTTTGTTGTACTTGTTGATGATAGGAGTGAGAACATTAAAAAGCTATAAGCTGCTCGTGAAACTCAAAGTGGAACAAAATGGAAAAATATGACCTAAATATTTTTTGTACTTCTACATTTTCCATTCTATTAGGACCTTAACTTAGTTTCCGCCCAAAAAATACTGAGAAAAAGCATTTATTGTAAAAAATTTATTTAAATTATTTCAATGAAAGTATTTTCCATCACTTTCTACAACTTTTTGCCATCTTTCTGGCAACTGGGCGATACCATCTCGATAAAACGATGTTTGTTTCGAAGCAATCCATTCGTCCACCCATTCTCGCACTTCTTCAACATTTCGGAAGCGTGTACCACTCAAGCCGTGCTGCATCGATCTGAACAAGTGGTAATCAGAAGGCGCTATGTCTG